ATCTGTGGCACAGTAAGGAATTCCTATTAGGTTTCTTGCCTCTTGTTCCTTAAAACCATTCTTCTAAGAGATTGATCGCAATTAGTCTCCATGGAACCACGACACCATTTAATGAATCATACAACAGGAAAAGCCTATCCCCCCAAAAAAATGTCTTTCCTGTTTCAGTAGTATATTTGTAATGCATAGTGACAGGAGAAGACCGGAAAAAGGGACATTTCTCCTGAGTGGGTTGATTAATTAACATAGATTGCCTGAATTCTGTCCAAGAAATCTATGCCAAGGAGGAATCCTGTACTGCCTTTCCTAACTGAGCTTGGAGCAGTCCCCCAAACACATTATCTCAAGAGCACAGAAGGAAATCACAAAGCCGGGTATGAAATTGGTCTTTCTGAGCAATAAAGACATCCTTGATGCAGATCATGGGCCAAAGGACAGAAATAGTGTTTACCAACTCAGGAAATAGGGATGAGGAGAACATACAATATAAACATTATCAAAACTAAGAATAGTTGTTTTGTCTGGAAGAGGTGTTTTACACAATTTCTACAGTTATATTGTTTCCTGTTTGATGAGAGATGATTCTGAAGTGTAGGCTTATATCCAAATCCCCAATTCGCTAAGGCTTAGAAGGGGTCAGAAATGAGGTTTATTTCACAGAGGTTGCTGCTAGTTAATAAATTCTACAAAGCTTGGTTTGTTAGAGACAGTTGAATGCATTGTGGTTTTTCCTTCAAAAAAATCTTATTATAAACACTCTTTTGACTATAAAAAGCAACTAGCAGCTTTTAAAAGTCAACATTAGACACTAGATAATGCAGAAGTTGGGAATATTATTATTTGAGTTTCCTAAACCATATCAAATAGATGATAATGGAAAAGGTTTGGGCAAGATCGCATTGCAACCATTAGCTTTTCCTACATAATCAGTATGGGTTGGTATCCATTATGGTCCACATTGCAACTCAGAATAAATTACTCAGTGGCTTCCAGAAACCCACATGCTACCGCTCT